ACAAACAATCGCTAATTCCTGCGTGGCACGGCTTATACGCCTACGCGACGATTAGTGAGATTCATGTTTTGTGCAACGGAATATCTAGCCCCCATATGTGTGTTTCACCACGCGAGAAATTTTCGAGCGAAAGCGAAATCACGCAAGGAATGGGGAAAACAGGTGTAAACGGGGGCACGGTGCTGTTTTAACCCGGTGCCGCCCCCGCGGGCCTCCGACGAGTCTGCGAGACTCGAGGAAATCAAGTCCCGAGCGCGCTCAATTGCCGACTATTTCCAGTAGTGACTAAGCTGGCTCGCGTGTACGGTGCGTGTACACGTGCGCGTACGTGGCGGTGGTAATAAAATTACAGCGATCACAGTTACGGCGCCGTAGGCGGACTGGTCAGTAAGAGACGACTGCCCTATTTCGGATCTAACACCTTTCCGTTTCTGCCGCCCTGGAGGAGGTATTTAAAAAAATCGTAGTGGCTTCATAACGAGAAGGCAGAAGATCAGACCGGAGCTACAGAGGTACGATAGTAAATCGTGCAGCTGATTATCCATCTTTGAAACGATCCACATTGATTATCTAGATTTACGAGAGAGTCATCTCGAAAGACTAGGATGTCTGTTAGATGCCATTTCTGTGAATGTTTAAATATTATAGCTTCTTGTATGATTGAATAGGAATTGAGCCGTCGAAATAATAATCGTTTTATACTTTTCCCGTAATTTTTGTAGATCATGTTTATTAGTATAAATTGTCACTAATAATTTATTGTAAATTAGTATAAACATCACGTAAACAGTATGTAGAAGAATCTTGCTGACGTCATTTCACGAACAGAACCCTAATGTGCATTCTACTGCGTTATTCAGCTGTCGAGGATTCCAAGGAATTAGGCCGAAGAAAGGTTGCGAAAGGGCGGCGCGAATAGATATGACAGTAGAGGAACCTGATAGTCGAGCTTTACCACTACCAATGAAAGCTGGTAAGTGATATATGTTAATTATGAGACTCGGTAGAATGAATAAGTAGCATTCGATTACAATTTTTAATAATTTATTTTTAAAGAACTAGAAAACCGAGTTTTAGAAACTTTTAGCGTTTTTATATAAACCTCTTCATCGATTCTAAGTGCCCGGAGAATACTTTTATTCTAAATGATCGTTGAAGAATCAATTCTAAATGAATGAATATGAAAGACATCCAGGTTGATTTTAATTGTTCTAATAAATAATATTTTTAATAGCATATGAATATAACATTCTTAGGATACATCAATGATACAAAAAAACTCACTATTAAAAAAATCAATATTATTTCTTGCATAATAATGAAAGTCAGATATCAGATGGCATGATTGAATAATAAATAAACAAGTCTGATCACTGTCTATTATTTTGCCTTCGTAAATTTCGTCATATTTACGAGTGCGATGCAGCGACCGATTACCGCAGCTCGAATTAGCAAAATCCTCATCACTTTTATTACGTTCTCTACAATCACCGCTATATTTGTCACACGCTTGGTAATTTTCCATAAAACGACTCTTATCGCCGAGTATGTAACGCGCTGAAAATACAGGCCCCGCCACTTAGATGAACCTCCCCTCCCCACCTCCTCCTTTTATGACATTTCCTATACGAGCGAAATGTAATGCGTGAGGTATCGTTTTAGTGCTTAAACTAGCACGTGTAAGAGATCCCGAAATTATCAAAAGAAACAGCACTCTAACAAGATGCAAAATAGCTGTATCTCCAACCAATAATCCAATGGCGCGAAAAGTTTTCGAAGAATTAAAGTTCGATCGTCAATTCTTATCCTTTTATTACATCACGTATCATGCGATCAAACTCTAATCCCAACGGCGATGGGGATTGTGAAAAATATTTTTTATAAATATCTTTCTATCGAGGAAAAATGAGAGTGCGTGGGTGCACACGTGCTGCGATTGTGATAAATAAAATATCTCTTCATAGGAGTTCGGTGTTCTCAAATCTCACGCGCTTCCGACGTTACGACAGCAAGGTACGATCCCGTCGACTGAAATGCGATCCTTTTCAAGTTCTCAGAATCAGCTACTCTCAGCGAGCAACGAGATCATTACGTGAGCGCGCTGTGACTTAGATGCACGTGCTGAGAATGCACTGGAATGCACTAGTTACGCGTGCATCGAGCGTGCATACTCGAGCGGACGCAAGGGTACGCACGCGTGCGATCGCACTGATGACTGGACCGCCGAAATAACGCGAGCAGGTCGAACCGGTCGCACAAGCACAATGTACTGCAAAATCGTATACGTGTCAACGTGAAAACAGCATACTTAAATTATTATATATTCGCGACTCTTAACTTGATTTTCCCGATGGCGCGCAATTATTTCTCGCGATCTGTTGAAAGGCAGTGATCGAACACGAAATTAACGTCGACGACCATCTACTTTGGTCGATTCGATGGTGAACAATAATTTTCGATAATGTAACGAAAACCGCACAATTGCAAAGAATCAGATAAGCACAATTAGACATGTATTAAAATAGCGTGATTAGATTTTTATGCTTAGGATAAAACCACATATTTTTCCTCTTTGGAGAAAAAGTAGATTTTAAAAATACAAGAAAAATTCTGATATAACGTGCTGTTATGACATTCGATATTTCCACAGACACTCCCGTCAAAAAGAAAATCAAGAGTTTTTACATACCCCACTAACAATCCCGGCCAGGCAGACTGCGGATGCGACGAATCTAAAAACAGAATTGCGCTGGGATATTATTCCGATAAATATTGCAAATATCGTTGAATTACACAAAGGAAATAAATGGAGTAAAACGGAAGAGTGAAAAAGCTATAAAAAAAAAGAAAGATAGAAAAGAAATACAAATCTTTAATTGAAAAAAATATTTTTACGTTACACTCGATTTTCTTGAAAATAAATTCTCACAATTACAAAGTTTACAATTTTGCATTATTTTAAAAAATGAATATTAAAATTGTATAAGAACTGATGTTAAATTCGTCCAGAAAAGTCAAAGTGCGCAGCGAACGATTTCGTAAGGGACTCCCAGTTATATCTCGTAGAGATACGTTATTGAGCCAGGAAGCGGAGTAAATATTCATTACCGAGGTAAAGGAAGTTGACATACGGAGAGAAAAAGAAAAAAAAACTCGCGTGAACAAGGTGAAAAAACGCGGAAGATACGATTTGCGGCTGCGTCGAGGCTACACCTGGGGAGGACGATCTCCTGCGCGCACGCGAGTTTACTTCTTGCGATCGTCCTTGGAGGGTCCTCTCACCTTTCCGCGGAATCCTGCGCGCAACGGGGGTGAAACTATCCCCTCCGTGGGGACAGAACGAGATCGGCACGGTCGGCCCGTCCGGCGACGAGCCAAAAACAAAAATGAATCGCAGAGGAAACACCCAGCAGACGAAGAAAGAGACGAAGAAGAGGAAGAAGAGGTAATGAGAGGACGAAGAGGAAGTAGCGGCCGTACAAATCTGATCGAAGGTAGGAATCGGTGTAACGCGAGACGGAATCGGAGGAGAAAATGAGATCAATATGAAACTCACCGCAATCCCAACCGGGTCATGTCGACCTCCCTATTCCTCGATGGGTCTAGGGAGCCGAGGAAGCACAGGCTAAAGCACCGAGCACCGCACAGACAGGCAGTCACAAAATATCGCGCAGAACCGGGCACCGAGTAGACCGATGGTGTGTGCGGACCGTCCCATCCAGGGAGGTCTCTGAATGGACTCCGGGTGGAGGGAAGGAAGGAAGGTGGAGGCGGCGGTCGTGCCGAGCCACGCCAGCTAGAATTCCTCCGCCGAAAGGACCGGGCCGAGAAGAGAGTGCCTTCTCTCGGCCTTCCGCGACGGGCGACGTCGCGCGTTCAGGCCTCGCTTCGGCCCGCTCGTTTTCCCCGACGTCGACGGGGGATCGCCCCTCTTTCCCTGTCTTCTTCTCTCGCTCCTGTGAGAGAAGAGGGCGATCGTGGTCTCCTGCCTGGCTGCCTCCAGTTGAACTCCGGGTTCGCGAGACGGGAAGAAGAAGTAGAAGAAGAAGAGGAAGAAGAAGGCAAAGAGTGAGCGAGGGAGTGCGCAAGAGGAAGGGGAGGAAGGAACGAACGCGGAGTCTTTCCAGGGTTGGTAGGGGAAGAAGAAACAACCGAAGAGAAAAGAAGGAGGAAGAAGAGAGGACCAAGAGAGGAGTAGGAGGAGTGCCGCTGGCCGGCTCCGAGCCGAGCGTTCGCTCGCGCGGTCGCGCGTCGCACGAGGACTGTTGCGCGGCCGCGAGAGACCCTACCGGTATCGGTCGTGCCGGTTCCGAGCTGCCAGCAGTGCCAGCCCGAGTCAACCCAAGCTTACGGAACTTGGCCATACCGTCAGGGGAGGGGGGCAGAGCGGGGCCCGTGTGTCAGGGAGGCCGCGCCACCGCCGAGCGTGCCGCGAGAGCTCGACGAGCGCGCAAGGATACAGCGCGCGAGAGAACGAGAGGAAAAGAGAGAGAGAGAGAGGGAGAGATAGAGAGAGCGAGAGAGAAGGACCAACCAGTGAGGAGACAGTGACGGAAGGAGAAAAAGCGAGATAGCCAGAGAGGGTGGGAGGGACAGAGACGAAGAAGAAAGAGGAAGAGAAGAGAGAGAGAGAGAGAGAGAGAGAGAGAGCGAGCACCTCCTCCGCCGTCTTCGGGTCTGCCTTGTGTCCGCCCGTCTGTGTGTAGCGATCAGGAGGACGGGCTAACCGGGCCGTCTGTCTGGCCCTTCGACACGCGGTGCGTCGACAGGCTGGCCGACGACGAGCTTAGCCGTGTGCGGTTTCAGCACGATATTGCTGAGCCGCACGTCGTCGCCACTGAGACTAACGAGAACGACTCCGAGACATCGCTCTCTCGAAGGCCGCGAGAACGAAGGAAGGTGAGGCAACCCCTGGAACCATCCGCTAAACCTACAGGTTTCATCAAAAGATAGAGAAGAGGAGGAGGAGAAGAAGGAGGAGGAGGAGGACCCCAGGCACAATGCGGCCCAGGGCTGCGGTGACGTCAAGAATCATCGGCATCTCGCCGCCCGTCCCGCTTGTCCTGCGAGTCACCTGCGTCCTTGCCCTACTGGTGCACGCCACCACGTGGATACCGACCGCCGACGCCGTGGTGAGTACGAAACGTCCTTGGAATGTATCGCGCACCACCGTGGTGCCACACTCGTGTCAACAACGTGAAACGCCTTCCGACGAGATACTTTTGTCTCCGGGGGATGATAGGAGTTACGATCGAGCGATGGTCCGGCGCGAGAAATGCATACGACATCGCGTCAATCATCGCGAATGTTCAGAGGGATGACGGATCACTAAAGACTAATGAGTCAGGTAAACGGCACGCGGTAAGTTCGATGGTGGGATCGACGGAAACGTCAAAGTTCAAAGTCCGTGTGAATTGGAGAACCGGAAATTGGACGCGCACTAAAGATTACGGTGTGACGGATTTCTACGCAGCACATTTTTACACGTCGATCGAATTACCGCTCGAAGCCATCAATATTGAGGTCGTAGTTAATCGTAACGAATCCGAGAATGTGGATTGTGATTATATAATTTATTTGCAATGACTATATCTCTTATAAGAATCAGCTGTCTATCGTGATAGGTGCGATTATTTCTTGTACAGCTTCAATAGAAATCTTGAATGACATTTTTATTAAAAGAGTATTTTGGAAATTATAATTTGAGGTAGTCAATTTCCCTAAAAGACAAAGATTAACGTCTTCGCTGTCTTTATCTCTGAAACAGAATCGCCATATGACTCCTACTGCTTTCTACATTTTGGTCGGCCATGTTGGAACCGCCATTTTGGATTTAAGGGTTGTGACATCGAAGTCAACAACCTTAGTTATTGTTAAGTAATAAGCTATTTGTAAAATATCATTTTAATTTAGTTTGTTTTTTGGCATCTCATTACTTTTCTCGTGTTCCATTTATTTTTATAGCATTATTAGATAATATAGGTAGATTAATCTTTATCAATTTATGTTTCCATTCTACTTCCTATCATCTGAGATGATTCATAAACGCGAAAATTGATTGTCGCTACCAAAGGCACGCACTTCGAGAAACATAATAAATTTCTATACAAGTCACTTCTAGCTGAAGCAAATTTTAACACATTATTTTATCGGCCATCCCTTTGTGGTGAATTGTAAAACACATGCAATAAGAAAATTACAGCCGCACTTTGTTTACTTTTGACCCAAATTGACCCTCTTTTTCTCCCGCGTACGTAGATGTCTTTACGATTTTACATTCAAACAGTCAAATGTTTAATTTTGGTTAATAAATACATAAAAATAAAATAATTTTTTTATTAAAAAGAACTGCTTGATAATTAAAAGAGAATACATTAATTGAGTCTTGTTTTATGTTTCAACATTTTCAGATAATCGAATTTTTCGTTTTTCTTTTTAATCTCCAAGCCTTTCCATTCATTACAAATTAATTCTTCCTTTCTCGTTTCTATTTCATTCATGAAATAAGGCACTATTGTCCTATACAGTCATCAACTCTCGGCCGTTCCAATGCTAACGAATGTGGGTGTGTTTTGCTAGCGGATGGCAACGACATACCAGAGAAATAGTCTGATATCGCTCCACATCTGGGGCAACTTCAATCGCTCTTAGGCTCTTAGATGGGCTCTACGGAGTCTAATTCTAGTCGTTCGTACTAACCGGACAATGCGTGGGAACATCAGACGAGCTCTTTAAACGTCAATCGTTGATTCGTCGCTGTACCATGGCATAAATATTCGCCTCTCGAAATGGAATTAATTTCGAATATCCGTGCGTGGCGCATCGCTCGTCTATTCAGTCGAAACGATATTATCTCGATTCTGATCATCAATCCACCCATCTGACTAATTAATTATCTGCAATCTTTTCCGCTTTCTCTATTCATTTTTACCTGCAATTACATTCATTAATCCGAAATTCATATAGTATAATTCTTGGATAGTGTTAATGATTTTTAATTAATGAGATTAATGAATTATAAATGTTTTGTTTACTTTATTTTTAATAGATAAAATATTCTATTTAAGATCATTTAATTACAAATCTTTAGTGTGTAGAGAGAGAGAAAGAGAGACTGATTTATTATTACATTCTCGTTGCTCTCTTTCCAACTGCTTGATTTTTTTAATTTACATTGACAATAAAAACATAATTTTCATATTAATCGAATAAAATTTGAACGATCATATTTAGTTTTAATTATAATTTGTTCTTGATTTTCTATCGCAGTAGTGGCGTTGTAAATAAGGGAAAAAAATTAGATTAATAGAAATATGAAAAAATTTAGATAATCCTAAGAAAACACCGATGACAAAGTCGTCACTTTCTATCTTTGAATGCATTGTTATAAACTTTACATATGTATATTATTCATGTTTATTGAAGCGAGAAATATTCAAGATTCTAATATTTTTTTATGCCTTGAGACGTTATTAAATTACGATGATTTAAGATATTAAATGTATTTCTTTATATACAATATTGCAAAAATATTTACTACATAATAAAAAAATAATTTTTTTATATCAGTTTTACACAATATCGTAAATTAAAAATATTACATAGTTGTTAAAAAAAAACACACTTTTCGTATAATAATATATTTAATAATATATCAACTATAGTACAATCAAGAAAAATATTTTTTACATAATTCTGTTTGAAATTATATAACATATTTACACAAAAAAAAAAAGAACATTTATGAAAGAATTATTGAAGAATTAGTCCAAGGTTCACGTTTCTTCCTCGCAATCAGAACAGATCCCATAACTCCGCACTCCGCAGGAGGTAGATGACGAATGCGATGTGATTCCACTATGTGCACACTACGTGCAATTAGCTAACACAAAATTTCGTGGAATATAAACCGGTTCGTGTTGTAGAGATCAGAGGGAAGACCGAGCGATGTGTAACGGATGATTAAATCGGGCGTGAAGCCGATAGTAACATAAGAGACCCTCGTGGAAAGCACCGATCAGCATGACTCCGGACGCTGTGTAATTCGAGAGCCTGAAACTGTGACTATTCGACATAATCTCCTTGCAAAATAGACATTACGGCATTTCAGTTAATCGGTGACGATGCATGTATCTGTGCTGACTAGAAAATACACTTCTCTATTCCGGCTTCACTTTCCGTAATTACCGCGAAACGTCAATATTTTTCTAGCTAAATCACGAAGCGCTTTATTGAGAAAATCATTGGTTTCACGACCAATTTGTTTCATGTAATTGACAAGGAATGTATACTTCTTGATTTATGACGTGAATCATCCTTCTAATACAATAAATGTTTACTTCTTTGTCAATTATATGGAATTGTGGGAGCAATATTATGAGAAAAGGAAAGTAAGATTTTATTTAATTCTTAATAATATATGACTGATGTGAGATATATATTTAATGTACTTAGTAATACTTATCCATGTGAAAAATAATTTGAAGATAATATTTTTCTCACAGTACTTTATATTTATTACTCTTGTGCAAATAATATTATTTTGTTCTTGGATTAGATAGTAATCAACGTAATAATATATTCAATGATAATTTGCATAATTTACACAAAAACAAGTATATTTGCCGTTGTCGTTGAAGTCACCCGGTAGACAGATACGTGGGCGATTTCGACGCCCGGACAGAGGACGTATTTTCGTTGCGGAAAACATGAAAGAAAATTTTCGATATAATAGGAAAAGTCACTGCCCGGTAGTCAATGAATCCACGTCTTCTTATTTCTTAGGACAGGTTACTCGCCTTTGTATCAAAAAATCATTCAAAATCGTGAGAACCCGCTTCATAATGAATTGAATCGCCCTCTCACCTGACATTCCAGCTAGTATACCATATAGCACAATGAAATTTTACACAGGCTAGACAGAAATGTACAATAAATAGTACATATCAATAATAATAGTATATTTGTCAAATCCGTTAAATTCATATATATAATTAAAATAAACTAAATTTCTAAACTTTTTCAGTCATTCAAATAAAATACTTTTAAGAATTAATTCCTTCTTTTCCCTTGTTTATTTTACATAAAGATATCTTTTATAAATAATAATGCTACACGCAAACAATTTTATCTATACTTATAATATTTAATATTATTTTCTATTTTGAATTTCCAAAATTTGAATAAAGTTTTATATAAAACCACCTTCGATATAGATATTATCTTGTTCTAGCACGCCTAAACTGTAGCTATAGTAGCCATTGATTTTCTAGCCAACGCAAGAACTCAGAGATTCATTTGCGTAGGTTTTTATTATTAAATTATTCAGCAAGATCAATATATGTATGTATTCCTGCACTTTGTTTTTGTCTTGCTTGTGATTATTAAACTTTATTTTACAATTCACAGAAAATAGAATTACTTTATATTAAAGTTATGTCAAAGAAATGCAGAAAGATTGAATACGAATGTGAAATATTTGACAAGAAAAATGGCAAAATTATATTATTTGTATATACAAGACGAATTGGAGAGAACATTCATACACTGAAAAAAAGATGGTATAGCATGTTTTTATTGACTGCATCGATCGATTTTTTATTACGTTAGTCTATCGGAAATACTATATTGGATTTCGAATGTACTAACGCAATCATAAATGGCTAACACAACCAAAAATTGGTTGCTGCAGCCAATAAAAAAATGCTATGCTAGGTAAATGGTAAAAAAAAGTGCTATATTTTTTACCATTTAAATTGCTGCAGCAGCCAATTTTTTCTTTCAGTGTAGTTACTTATTTTTATCTACATAACATTACAATAGCATGAAATAAAATACTTACACAACCTTATAGAGAAATGCCTAACGCGATAATACAATATAAGGATATTTACTGTAAGTAACAATATTACGAAATAATTTGCAGAAACGAACCGCAATATGTAGGTTGATTATGAGCTATATGAAGAGAGTCTGCATGCCGTTGTCGCGATAACGATAAAGCCTTCCTGTTTTTCTCCTAAAGGAGACAAGCATTGTGGGTTGGCGTAGCCTGGATCAAGTATGCGTTTTGCAGACCAAGCATGACAGAGTATTAGATGATCGAACATCTGTCGCGCGTGTTTGTGTCCAC